GCAGCTGTGGTTTGTTTTCTTGCATGAAATCTCACAAGGTTTTTAAATCGCTTGCAGGAGAAAAGCATTTCAGTGACCTGGAGTGCCACAGGACCGTTTTGGAGCAGGGAATGAGCCATTCACATCCACACTGCACTGGGGAGAGACTCCTGGAGGTGCCCGACGGTGGCAAGGTGATGTGAGTTGCATTTTCCAGTCCTGGAGGGATGGAGCCGATCGGCCTGTCGTGGTTGAGTGGGCACCGGGTCTTGCAGTGAGTTTGAAACTGGGTACAAGACGGTGCCGAAGCCCTGAGCTGTGTTCAGGGGCAATACAGCCAAAAACCTGATGGCAAGAAACTCGCAGCTCTCATACAGACTTTTAGTTTTTTCCTGTTTTCAGCTTTTTTTTTTTTTTTCATTTTGAGCGGAAGATGATAAATGGTAAATAAAAGAACCAGCCAGCTCCTTCCAGCCCTGTCCTGCCAGCTGTCAGTCACAAAATATCACTATCAGGACATGAAAGATTAATAAGGCAGAGCTAGCAGGCTCGGAGACAACACTTTCCCTGCAGAAAATGCCCCAACACCCAGGAGCCCTAACTCGGTCAGCTAAAAATGTGTAAGTACATTTCAAAAAAAGGCAGAGGAGAGGTGCCTCTACTTTTTGAGGTGTGTAAATGCTCCATCCCTTCCTATCCTGAAGCTTATGTCCAAGGGAGTTGAACTATCGTGTTAAGGAACACGCCAAGCATTTATGCAACACAAGTGCGTCGGGTCTCTTGGTGATTTTGAAGTTATGCCTGAAACAAAATTCATATTTAATTCATCATCTTAATAACATTTATGAACACGAAGCGAGTCTCGCAGCTCGCTCCAGCTCCATGCCTGCCATGTCTTTATTCCCCGTGCTTGTGCAGGAGTAGCGGGCTGGTTCAGAGCCTCGGCGAGGTTGCACTGACACACCGTGCGGGCCAGAAATGGCAGCATTCTGCCAGGCTTTGGGTCTGACAAATGCAGAAACCGCGGCAAAAGCAGCTGGGGTGTTTAAAAAACCCCAACCTTCAAAGCAGAAATGTGAAGCTTCTTCCAGTTTTGCACCGTAAATAAACTGAAGAGATTTGCTTTTTTCCTTCCCTTAATCTGTTTGTCCTGAAAATCAAAAGGCTCATTGTGCAGGGGGTGTTTTGGGGAGAGCAGAGAGCGGTGCTGCAGGAGGGACACGGTGGCTCCTGCATGACGAGGCCATTTCAGTGCTTTCCCAAAAATCCCAGTAAGTGGGGAAAGAGTCTCATGTGCTTTCGCTCCCCCACAAGACATTTTGAGCTCCATCCTCATCCTTCACCACCCTTGGCAGCGGGGAACAACCGGCTGGATGAACTCAACCCGGTCTCTCTCTGTGTATTTATTTATTCTGGGCAATTCTGCTCCTCGCCGTGCAGGGGCTTTCCAGACGGTTCCTGTTTATTTTTGGGAAAGGAAAGACCACGTCAAGGAATTGGTATGAGCCAGAGTTGCTTTCCAACCAGCCCCAAATGGTGATTTTTTTTTTGCTGCTTTCCCCTACCCAAACCTTCAGCTCCTGGTGGATAACCTTTTGCTAGCACATCTACATCCATCTAGCACCCTGATCATTTTTATTATTTCTTTTTTGCAATTAATGTGTAGCAGGAGGGCAGGTTTGGGTTAAATCCCAACGTCTCAATTGCTGGCAAAGGTGTTGGGAGCTCAAAAGATGTTATAGCCAAGGAGCTGTGCTCCAGCCCAACTTTCTCCCAAAACTGAGCAAATGATCCCAGCTTTCCTCTTGCAGGGTGGGAGTTGCTGGGTGCTCCATGTCCTGAGGTGCAGGCGAAAAATCCTGTTAAATTCCAGCGAGAGAAACCTGCCATGCCAAAAGGGATGTTTGCACAAGATACCGCGCGCCCCAGGAGGAGGGTGGCCAAACTGTTTTCAGGTCAGGTGGGAAAACAAGTCCTTTTCCCCCCTAAATTCACCGTGTGGCTCGTTAGAAACAGAGGTGCTCCTGCACCAGAATGCTGGTGCCCAGCTCATCACAGGCTTGAAAACAACCCTTTCCCCTGCTAAATTCCCTGCCCGGCTCGTTAGAAATGAGGCTGTGGACACAACTCGACAGGCGACCCGAGGGCAGCTGCTCCCTCCTGCCTGATGCCGAGCAGGGATGGAGGGAGAGCAAGTGTCTGCCGGAGAAACTCCTCTCCTTGATTTAAGGTCCTTGAATGACGGCAATTCCTCACGCCTCGTGCTGCGCTCTGCCGGCACTTAATTACCCTCGCTGGTAAAAGCTGGCCTCTTATTTCCACCTTGACTTTGCTGACTTCAGCTTCCCTGCTGTTGAATCCCACTTTGCCTTTGGCTGCTAATTAAAAAGCCCTTCAGCGTTTGCCGGCTGCTCCTTGCATAGGTAATTACGGACCGTGCCCCAGCCACCTCTTCACCTTCACAGCAGCCCGCTGGACCAGCCACATTCCTCCAAAAATACGTGCCACCCCTTTCCCATCAAAGCCCGCTGACACCGTATCACCATGGTGGGGGCTGTGGTGTCACCTGTAGAAAAACACTCTGGCTCTGCATTTACCAAACAGGCTCCTAATGAGCTTGTTTCAGGTGTGAGGTTTCTTTTTTTTTTCCCGGCCGTGTGTTCGTGCTCCCCTGGCTCGCGCAGCCCCCTCGCCGCGACGCTGCGGAAGGGGCTCGTGGCAGGGGGGAAAAAGCGGCGGCTCCTTCTCCGGGGGAGGAGGAACGAGATGAGGTGAATCTTGCAGACTTCTCCCAGAGGAGCTCGGCTGGATTTAAACAGTCCTTTAGCTGGGGCAAACCCAGGGGATCCCCCCTTCCCCGCCGTCCCACCCACCCCCGTCTCTAAAATCTCGGCAAGATCTGGGGTTTTCTTTGGCATTTGGCTCCTTTTTTTTATTTTTAAAGTTTAAAACTGCCGTGGGCCGTCTGCCCTTTCTCCTCACTCCCAGCAGCACAGCCAAGGCTGCTCAGACTTTCCAAACACGAGCGGGACACGGC